AAGAGGATCAGAGCGTTTGAAGCCAGTCTGGGCTACCTCAGACTCAGTTTCAAAACACCTCATATCAAAAGTAAACTTAGTAATACCAGGCAGTGGTGGTGCACGCCTTTAATCTCAGCACTCAGTAGGCAGAGCCAGGTGGATCTCTGAGTTCAAGGCCAGCCTGGTCTAGACAGGACAGCCAGACCTACACAGAAAAACCTTGTCTCAAAAAACCAAAATAAAGAAACAAACAAACCAATCTAGTAAGAACATACTAATGCACACTACAATTCTCTTTTAACTTTTTTATCCTACCACTTTAATTTTCTTTATCCCCTATTTCCTACGTAAGCTATCTAACGGTAGAAACTGTGTCTACACTCAAGGCCTTCAGGGATTGAGTCACCTAGAACGATCTCCTTTTACAGACAAGGGAGACAAAACTTACAGGAGCGGCACCACCTGCTCAAAGTCAGTCCGTCTGTCCCAGGCTCAGGGGCTGAGGTGGACAAGAGGATGTCTCAAGTCACCTGACGTGCATACGAAGTATGCGTGCGTCGTCAGTGAAGTTTCTAGAGAGCCCAGCCCCGCGGGCAGCGGCACTGCCCCCTCTTGAAGACAGCTCTGCCTGAACAACCCCTGGTCTCTCCAGCTACACTCTTAGCCACGCTGACTAACTGTTGTCCCTCACTTGTGGTGCCCCAGCTGCTGCAGCCTCAGCTGAACTCACCTCCTGTGTCCTAACCCCAAGTCTACCCAAGGAACCCCAGAAGGCTCCTTTTTCTGATCATTCTAGTTCTGTGTTCAAAATCTTCACTCTCTAGAAGGCTCCGCTGCCCGCTCTTCAAGGCTGTCTGTGTCCTCTCCTATTTCCTCTTCTTCCCTGTGCTGTAACTGACTTACTTATCAAAGTGTAGACAGTAATACTAGTGTGCTGTGTGGCCGTTTCTTCCAGGTTGGATGTGATCATTGTCATCTGAAACCCTCTTCTGGCCTTCTTGGATACTAGGCATGCACATAGTACACATACATACACACACACACACACACACACACACACACACACACACACACACACACACACGTCAGGCACTCACACGTACACATAAAATAAGACCAATCTTTTTTTTAATCCCCCCTCGGTAGGGATATGGTAATGAGGTCAATGAAGTTCATAAGGTCTCCTCTGCCCAAGGATAGACAAGCATCTAACAACTGCTGAGAAGACAAAGACTTTTGTTTCTATGATCTGTTCTTTTTCCATCTCTCAGGGATGGATAGAAAAGTCATGCGACGCTATGCCTGACCTGCCGCACAGTGCTGTTCTGAAGGTCGAGTGAGCGGACAGCACACACCACTCTTGACGTGCAGGGTCCAGTGCATTTAGTGCTGCTGCGGTGGTCTTCATTCTAACCCTCCAGTTAAGCTCACGAACTACTCCTGCTTGCAGACCTGACTCGAACCCTCTTCAACTCCCTTTCTTCACTCTGTTCTAGCCTCCCCGCTGTTCCTCCCACCAGGCCTCCCCACCGACAAGTCTCACTGTATAGGAGACTCTTCTCTGTATATCTACATAGGTGAATCTTTGTAAACTTCAGCTACCTGCTCAAATATCACACTCTTAGTAAGTCCTACCCTGACTGCCCAGGTTCAAATCACATGCACTTCATCAATGCTCATCATTGTCCACAACAATCCAATCCCTAGGACATACTTTATAATGTATATAGTTACCACACTTGTTTATTGACTCTTTCCCACCACAACAGTAAGGTAGGGACTTTTGCTTGGTACAAGCATCCAGAACAAAACCTAGCATCTAGCAGAGACTCAGTAAATATTTGCTGAATAAATGGAGAGTATTTCCCCTAAATCAGTTCATTTATTAACATACAGCCTGTTTTGAGAACTAGATGTGGATTTCCAACTGTCAGGAAAGCTCCTTAAATCCACCAGGCCCTCTTAACACTAAGCATGTCCAGCACAGACATCTTCTCTCCAAAACGCGTACCTCTCTTCCTCACGGGACCCCTAAATCAGTAGTACCCCACTTCTCTTCTCCCTCCCCATCCAGCTAATCCTCAAGGTTGTTTAAATCTCTCTCAGATCCCTTCCTTCTTGTCTGTTTGAATTGCCTCTGCCCTGATCAAGTCTTCACACTGCTTACCTAGTCTCTGGTATTTTCTTTTTTCTTTTATTTTTTTTTTT